CTCAAAGCCCCACTTGGTACCTGGGTTTTGGCCACTGTGTGACCCAGTGGGTGCGTTCAGACGGGGCATTTGCAACGGAATAGGTGCCGGTTGCAACCGGTGAACTTACTGGCGTTCACACGTAGAACATCTGCCTTCCGTCCCTAACCGTTGCAAAGCCCTTTAAACCGTTGTACTCTGTCACTAGGTCCCCAAGTGGTGGTATCCTGAGTACAACAGTTGTAATCGCTGTACCCACCATCTGATCGCTCTCCACCATTGAGAAACAACTTCTGTTCGGAAGCCTAAGGCTTCCGATTTTCACCCACCATTTTTTTTTAGGTTGCCGGAATGCGCTTGGGCGAAGCTTCGCCCCGGCGTTCTTTTTTAAAAAAAGAAAAGGCCCTTAGTTTAACTTTCCGAAGGAGACCGGGACTTCAGGGAGGCCAGTTTGGGCTTTAAACTTTAAAGGTAAGTCCTTACCTTTAAACTTTAAATGTAATACGGGGTGTTTTGAGCATGCGCAAAGATCGTCATTCTGTGGATGGCTGCCTATGCGCATGCTCAAATTGAGTTGTGTGTTTTTTTTTAATGCCAACACCCTCAGCATGTGAACGGGCATACAGCAATGGGCTCCTCTGTGAGGGAGGTAAGTGTGATTGCGTTTCAGCTGGCATAAACTGCACCCCTAGAGTCGGATTCAACTGGCTTTTGAGCAAGGGAAACCTTTACCTTTTACTAATTTGACTGAAGTCACGCATTCCAGAAGCCTCCGTTGATAACAAGGCTATGGGGGCCTTCAGGGAATGGAAAGAGGAAATGGTGGGGGAGGGTTACGTGAGAAGTTTTCATGTTTGCCCCCTTTGATGGGAAGGCAGTATAGAAGCATTCTAAACAAAATAAATTAGCAGGAAACATGGGATAAAAGTGCGATTGATAAGACAGGGGTTGCACAAGGCACGAATGAACTTGAAGCTGTTTGATCAGGTACAAGCAAGTAGGGTTGCCAGCTGGCCTAGAGAAAAAGGTCCTGGCTTTCGAGCAAGGGAAACCTTTACCTTAATGGGGATGTTAGTTATCTCGATGCCATGGAAAACTCTGTTAGTCTTAAAGGTGCCGCTGGACTCAAACTTTGTTCTATTTCCAGCCATTAAGCCTTTGTTAAAGAGAGAGTACATTTGTCTCCAGGCTGACAAACCTAACTCAGCTATCCAGTTGCTATGATAAACTAATTTTAAAGAGAAAGTAGCCCTTGAAGATACACACACATGCAAGTTGTGCTTTTTGAGTTTAATTTTGTATTCCTTTTTATATAATTACAAATCATGGCAATTGTATTTCTATTACGATTCTTACTCTACATTATAATGCTTGGCACTATTACCACTTTGCATTTATATAACACTTCTTTTCAAAGCGGTTCCTGCAATCTCAGTAATCCTTACAAACAATATGCGAAACCCATCTACATTATCTTCCCCATTTCTTCAAATGAAAGGCCAGAAGCAAGAAAGGAAGTGAAATTTCCTGATTTGGCTTCCACTGGCTCAATACTTGGAGCAGCACCTTAAGTATATCTCTTACAATGAATTCTAAAACAAAGTCTGAATCCAGTGGCACCTTTAAGACCAAAGTTTTCTTCAAAGTATAAGCTTTTGTGTGCATGCACACTTCTTCAGATACAGTGAAATGGAAATTACCAATCCATAGTGCATATAGCAGTAAATTAGCATATAGCATAATTAAGAGGTTTAACAGATTCAAGGACCAAACAGGAATAACAATTTTAGTTTATATGGTTACCATTTGTTTGGGTTTAATTGGGGGGACATAGTCAAGGAAATAAGTATGTCAAACTTGGAGACTGATGTGTAAATGTATCTTTCTTAATTGTGGAATGCTGAGAGGCATTAACCGCGACCCTGCCATTATGTTCCATCCATCCATCTCCTCTCAAGCATGAAGGTGACCTTACAGCATCTCCTTCTTTAAAGTGGGGTGATTGGCTATGTAGACTTATCTCCCCTGTCCCCAGACCCGAGAAAACAAAGTTTGAGTCCAGTGGCACCTTTAAGAACAAAGTTTTCTTCAAGGTATGACCTTTTCATGTGCAGGCACACTTCTTCAGAATTCCAAGTGGTTTCTGGTCTTTCTTCCCAAAAAGGATTTTGAGTCTTTGTGTTTCAGAGAGATATCAGTTGGGATTGTTTTGTTATGGAGAGTAACTAGTTTATTGCTTCATGCCTGCAGTAACTGGAAACCAGCTCCATTTGAATCTGCTCTGCTTAACACCATGATTGAAGTCACTGCACTTTCTCCAAAACCAACCATTTTTTTTTGTAACACCCAGCCAGGGAGAAAGGAGTTCTGGTGAGCTCAGAAGCTCACACCCTACTATGGGTCATTGGGCTGCTCCTAATAAAAGATATCACATGGATTGGGTTCTGGGCTTTTAAAAGCAAGTAGCCCAGTCTAATGAATTTATTGCAGCTGTGAGAGTTAAACTAGGTACGTCCTGATTCATCCAGACTGCAGTCTTACTTACTTAGACACTGAACTCAGAAAGACTTTTAAGCAAACATGCATTGAATTGAGCTAGTTGGAGACTGGTTTAAAATACCATAGAATATGAAACTTCATTTAAAAGCAGCAATCAAAAGATTAGCAAATGCAAACAAGACTTTATAAATCAGTCTGTAATTTACAAAAACAAAACCTCTTCTGAAGCAAGGGAATTTCAGCAGACTAAAAGCAAAGATGACTGAGCGCCTCCAGCAGCAGAAGCTGGAGCTGCTACAAAAACTGGCTGGATTTGTGTGCATCTAACAGTATTAAGAAGAAGAGAAGAGAAGAGATTGGATTTATACCCCACCCTTAACTACCCAAAGGAGTCTCAAAGCGGCTTACTCCTTTCCCTTCCCGTCCCCACAACAGGCACCCTTGTGAGGTAGGTGGGGCTGAGAGAGCTCTGACAGAAACTGCTCTTTTTCAAAGACAGCTTTTATCAGAACTATCTGTGTGTGGTAGCTGATACAGAGACTAGTCCTATGTATGTGGGGGGGGGGGGTTTAAGTAATTCTGGAAAAGTAGCTATGGCCCCGGTCACACGGGAGGCTTTGATCTGCAAGAGGGACGGATCGGGGGTGCATCAAGCGCAACATCTGGGAAGCAGCGCGCACCCATCCCCAATCCGTCTCTTCCAGCCAAAGATGCGGATCAGAAAAAAACCTATGAAACACTAGTACTTACAGAAAAATCCGCTGCAGGGGCGGACATGTGATCGCTGGTGCGCCCATCTCTCCCGCAGCATGCGAGGTCCTGCCAAACTGTGCATGCACATGCATGCGCCGCGAGCTCGCCTTGCTCTGCCGTCCATGGCCTCCCCCCGGCATCTGATCATGCCAGGGAGGAACTGCGCGGCAGCTGGGGGGATAAGTCTGATCCCACCGCTGTGCTTCTCTTTTGGTGCAGCTCAAAAAAGCTGCACTTTGGCCACGCCTATTTCCCCCAGTGTGACCAGGGCCATTGTTAGTCTATTGTAGCAAAATGAAACAGAAGTCCAGCAGCACTTAAAGACTAACAACTTTTATTCCAGAATTATTTATTTTAAAAAAATTATGCCCCCTCTCCACAATCCTGCTTAGTGCAGCTTACAAAATAAAATTCATTAAAAGACATTC